GTATAGTTATAAATCATTAAAATACAGTTAAGAAGTCATTTACAACTTGTCAACTAACGGCTTGTAAGTTATCCATTGCCCATCTATAAGGCACAGTTGTAAATAATTAACAAACTATTAACTTTTATTTAACAAGTCATTTATACCTTGTTAACTAACAGTTTATTAATGGTCTATTAACTAGTTATAACGGATAGTTATTCTAAAGTGTTACCAACCTTTTTTTTTTATGTCTCTCTATTATAATGAACAGTGGGTTCTATAATAATGTGCAGTCTATAAAACAAAAACCTGAAAAGTAAATTAAAATGTTATATTATAAGTTTGTAACCTTAAGAAAAAAATTCAATTTAAGATAAACAATTTGTATTACTTTATTTTAGTTTCATGTTGGTGTGTTGTTTTTAAAGTACAGCTGTTTTACGTGATGTATATTGAAAAGAAAAAACAAAACAAAAAAATCTAATAAATTATATTATTTTATTTGCTCTCATTTTTGGAAGCCTTAAGAGCAGGGAACATGTAATTCAACATTTGTCTGAAACTTGGAACGAATGTAGTTCATGTCTGAGGAGTTAATAGTTGTACTATTTAATATATTCATGCAAACCAACAAAACTATTTGAATAAACATATGAATACGAAAAATACTGTTTTTTATGAATGGTACTTTTAATCTTGCACATATCAGTGAGCAAACATACAATAAATAAAATAAGGTTTCAGTACAATAAACAAATACCTCCATTTATATCTCTCTATAAAAAATAAAAACAGCAATACAGACAATAATAATCAACAGGTGAATTAACCTCCAGTGCATAAATAACAAGTCATGCAGAGCAAACTAGAAACTACAGCATGCTGTTGTCGATTTAAAAAGCTGAGTCTGCGTTTATCTATGTCCCCTTCAACAGTACATCAAGAGTTATTTTTATAATGATAAAGACCCTAAAGAGCTTTAAAAGGCCAAATGTATAAACCATAATCTCTTCATAAAAGAGGCAGTTGGAGAATCAATGCTTGTATAGGTTGCATGTCAAAGAGCAAAGCAAAATCAATATTACTTTATAATCCAGTAGTGAACTCAAATGTGTGCATTCAGCAGGCAGATTAGTGTGTAAGAAATAAACTGTGTGTGTGTAGGCAGAATTGCTGTTTTATTTACAGTCATTGCATTTACATATCCCCCTTACACCCACTGTAATAATCTAGCAATGCAAGAACCAACTGCTGAGGGCCTGAAAAAAACCCATCTCTACCACTTTCTATGAAGCTCTTTGATGAATTGTAAATCTGTTTATAATTATTCAAAATTCAAGCATAACAATTCTTTGCATGTACCTATAAAGACACAACAAACCTTATAATGTATTATAATGACTGTTATAGCTACATTTATAATGGTGTTATTAATGATTATTAGTAGGGCTGGGCGGTACGACGGTATATATTGTTACTGCAAAATGAAATGTGTATAGTTGTGTTCTGTGTATAGTGTAAAATTGAAATAAGTGGGCATGGCTAACTTGCATAAACCAGCAAGTGTTGTTTGAGGCTGAGGCTCAATGGGAAACTAGCAGGCATGCTAATTCTTTTATATTTTTAACAATAAGTGATCACTTAGTTTTATTATTTATACAATAATTGTATTGCTTACATTTTCTGTTTTAGAGGAAATTTGTTTGTATTTCCTTAAATTGTTTTTATATTTAAGTTGTATCTTCCTGTTACTTACTTGAGATATATTTTATATCTGTGAGAAGATGTTTCTTGAAAAATGTTTATAATAATAAGGTCTGTTCACATAAAAATAATTTGTTGTTCATTTAAAGTCTTATTTTGTTTAACATATGTATACGGTTAAAAATAAAATACAAAATAATCAAATAAGATCAAGTCCTTTTCTTTTCCTTAATTGACTGGCTTATTTATTATATAAAGCCCTTTTGTAGTTTTTCTGGAATAACTACCTTAATAAAAACAATATCAGGAAAGATAACGTTATCGTGAAAAAAATCATTTAGTCATCGCTCAGTTCTACTTACTAGTGACGTATTTATTATTTTTCAGTTAACATTTTCATAATATTTTACTCTGATTTATATGTATTAATTCATCAGTGATGGTTGTATCGTGTTGAAGTCTACCATAGATATATACACTAGATATCGCATACGGACCCTGAGCATGCATCAATACTGTAGCCTAATTTGTACAGTGCTCCCACGATAAATGTCATTCAACCGCACTAGTCAAGACTAAAGCCAATGTGAAGATGCTAGACTTTTGCGCTGTTTACGGGTATAGTAATGAGCAAACAAAGAAAACAAAACATAAAGGCAGAACATTACATAGGTAAGATTTCGTTTTTCCCGTTTTTATGTTATTAACTCTTGTGCTCAACAAGTATTGATGATAATACAGTCTCTTACTGCACTGACCTTAAAGAAAAGTAGCACCAACTTGCACAAAATTCTAGGCTTATGCTAGTTTTGTTGAATTAAATCAGCAAAAAATGTAAATGAAATATGACAACAAGACACTGCGCTGCAATAAACTTATTGTCGGCTAAGTGAAGTAACGGCTAGTTTCGAAGTAACTTATTGTTATCAATTTATTGAATATTATTATTAAATATTACAAGTGTTATATACCATTTAGATGAGAAAGGTGGATGCGCACATTGAGACGCAGACTAACGGTGGTTCACACTATTCGTTCGTAACGGAGATTCATTTACAAATGAATCACTTTAGAATCTGAAGTGAAAGCAGGAAAGGAGTGTGTTTCTGGACACGGATGAAATCAAATTTAACAGGTAGGGAGATAATACATTTACATGCACACAAATACATGCTCTTTGTTGGCAATACCCATGTGGTCACTGATCCATTTATATAGAAAATTGATGTAAAATTATACATTTCGTAATTAAATAAAACTAATCGGCATACTGACCACCAGGAAAACTCCCGATCATAGATATATGTATGTCTATATATCTATGGCTCCTGATGGCCAGTCCTCCACTCCACCTTGGTCCTATATTCATTTCCAAGGAGCACTTCCCTGTACTAAAATGGTGGCTCCATTGACACATTCCTTGCGATAGTTAACAACAGCGTAGGCGACGTCTAATGTAAATATCTATAGTACTCTATAATGTTAAAACATTGGAATGTTAATTACCTATATAAAGACCCATTGGTAAGTTAATAGATTTTGTTCTTTGAAATAAGTGTATAATTTTATATTGTTAGAGCCATGTTGCCTTATAAATACTCAGAGTCATAATACAGTTACTAACCTAAAAAATGCATCATTACAGTCAAAACAACGTCATTTCTTAACATTTGCATGTGGAAAATTTCCATCCTGTTTTCACCTTACCTAAACCCATCAATTGTGCATTTAAAAAGATTAGTAACTGTATTATGACTCACATTAAGTACTTGATAAGGCAACAGGCTCTAACAATATAAAACCATACATTTAAGTTTACTTACAATAAGATTATTATGCCTCTGAAAAGCTCAGATGATGGAGTTAAGATTTTGGAAGTTTCTGAATTGACAACATTTGAGTTAATTGGAGGCACAACTGTAAAATAGTACTTAAGGAAAACCTCAAATACACTGCTTCCTTGTGTGACAACATGGGAAAATCAACAAGCCAGAATCAACAACAACAACAAAAAAAAGCCAGATTACAATTTACTAAATTACACTGGGAAAAACAATAATTTTGGAGACGTGTCGTCTGGTCTGATGAGTCTAAAATTTAACTGTTTGGCCATAATGACCAGTGTTACATTTGGAGGACAAAGGGGAAAGCTTACAAGCCTAGGAACACCATCCCAACTGTAAAGTATGGGGGAAGCAGTATCATGTTGTGGGGCTTTTTTGCTGCAGGAGGGACTGGTCCAATTCACAGCATAGTTGGCATAATGAAGAAAAAACATTATGTACAAATACTGAAGCAACACCTCAAAACATCAGCCAGGATATTAAAACTTGGGCACAAATGGGTCTTCCAAACAAACCGTGACCCTAAGCATACTGCCAAATTAGTTAAAATGTGCTTTAAGGACAACAGAGTGAATGTTTTGGAGTGGCCATCACAAAGCTCTGAACTCAATCCTATAGAAGATTTGTGGGCAGAGTTGAAAAAGCTTGTGCAAGCAAGACAGCCAACAAATCTGACTCATTTACACCAATGCTGTCAGAAGTAATGGCCTAAATATTGTGAGAAGCTTGTGGAAGGATACCCAAAACATTTGACCAAAGTTATACGTTTAAAAGCAAAGCTAAAAAATACCAAGGAAATGTATGTAAACTTTTGACTGTCTAGAATTAAATGAAAAACTATCAAAAAAAATAAATCTCATTATTCTGTCATTTAGCAAATGTAAATCATTTAGGTAATCCTAACGGACCTAATAGAGTAAATGTTTAGTATACTTTACCATCAGACATTTAAAAAAAATGGTTATGTTGCTTTTTTTTAGAGTGTTTGTAAACCTCTGGTTTCAACTGTATATTGAACAATAAAATAAATTACCAATAAGTATTAATACCACTATTATAAATGCATTACATAAATACATTTTTAGAATTATTATGCTCGATTATAAATAATCATAAACAGAGTTATAATTCATTACAAGCATGAGCGTCATAGGAAGTGTTACAAAAATTTCATCCAATTTTTATAACAGGGCAATCTGTAATATCTTTCCTGAACATCGATCGACGATAACTTCCAACATCAGTGTTTCATGTGTTCCATGCACTCGCGCACACACAAGCACCCCCCCCCCCCCCCCCCAACACACACACACGCCCTGGCACACTCAAAAATCCACACACGAACACACATGCACACCCAACCTACACCTCGCTCCATTAAGTTCACCCACATACCGCACTGAAGTCTGACTATGCATTATCCAAACAGGCTCTATTTTTAGCCAATTCTTTTTCTCTCTGTGGTCTTACCTGCGGCACACTGCTCCTCGTCTGCTCCATTTTCACAGTCTCTTTCTCCATCGCAGCGCCATGACAAAGACACACACTTGCTGGTTGAGCCGCCACAGTCAAACTTCTCTGGCGGACACGTCTGGCGACCTGTGAGCAACAGCAGAGACATTTTAAAGGATGACATACTGTATCAACTAACATTTAAAATGTGTAGTTTCCAGATGCTATATACAACACATTATGTACAAATTGCATATACAATATACAATACAGTGACATATTTTCATTAAAATATATATGTTGCAACGTTGATATATTCACATTAAAATATTTGAAGTCTATAGCCTATGCGTCAAAGAGGAATTGGCTATTTGATTAAGAATACAGCAAAACTGTAATATAAGATATATTATAAAAATGCAACTGCTTTCCAATCCAAAATATTTTAAAATATATAATATAAAGTTCCTGTGATGGCAAAGATTTGCTTTTCTTTGGCTGTTTCTTTAGTGTCCTGTAATCATTCAAAAATGACCCTAATGCACATAAGGTTCATTTATTTTTATTAGCCAATCAGTTGTGCTGCTTATTATTTTATTTTTATTTATTTTTTTTGTGGAAACTTTGATACAGAATCTTTGATGAATTGGAAGTTCAAAAGAACAATATTTATTACAATTATTGTAAAAGTCTATTTAAAATTAATTTGTGCATATTTTATATGGTGCATAATAAATGTCTTAATTGACAATCTTTTTAATTATTTTTTAATTTAATTTAATTTTTTATTTTATTTATTTAACTATTAATTACTTGAATTATGTAATGTACTTCTAGGTTAAAATCTGAAATATGAAAATGTTTTTAACCATGATGAAAAAAAAATGATGATTTCAAATAAATAATAAAAAATAATAATAAAAGATATATTGCATTATTTTGAATTATTTTATGATATAATACATATTTTTCAATATAATAATAATAATAATAATTATTTATTATTATTGGCTTGGGGCACACAGAGCTACGGCTGGATCAGTTGGCGTTTCTGAGTGGAGTTTGCATGTTCTCCCTGCGTTCGCGTGGGTTTCCTCCGGGTGCTACGATTTCCCCTACAAGTCCAAAGATATACAGTACAGGTGAATTGGGTAAGCTAAAACTTGTCTGTAGTGTATATGTGTGAATGAGAGTGTATGAAGGAAATCCACGCAAACATGGGGAGAACATGCAAATTCCACATAAAAATGCCAACTACCCAGCCAAGGCTCAAACCAGTGACCTTCTAACTGTGAGGCGACAGCACTACCCACTGCGCCACCCTTAAATATATATTTATTATTATATATCTTTTTAATTTTTCACATTTATTTACCTATTACTTCTGTGAATTCTGTAACTTGGATGGAAAAATGAATCAGTATGTACTGGATTAAAATCTGATCCCTTAAAATGTTTTAACCCAAATGAAAACCCCAGAAATAATTAAAAATTTAAATTAATTAATTAATTAAATTATCTAAATTTAATTAAATTAAAAAATAATAAATTAATAATAAAAAATAAAAATCTTTTGAATTGTTATTGGGTTTTTGATTTGTTAACTGTTGAACTACTAATGAACCCAACAAACTGTAAATGTCATGGAAAGTGTGCACCATAATAAAAAGAGCTAGAAAACAAACAAAAAGACAAACAAACCAATAAATAAGGTTTACAATAAAAGAGCCAATCCCTTTCGCTTTTATATTTGCTTATAAAAACTATGCCATTAATATGAACATCCTTTCTTGTCAAGCCCAATCACAGATCCACAAATTCAATAAGACATTCCTCTGGCCGTATTGTCCACCCAAACCCAAGCCCATTGAAACATTTTTGAAGTTTCATCCCAGATCACACAGCGTTCCCAAGACAGCTCCATAAATTATACATCTCTACATGTCTGGGAACCAAAGCACAAATCAATAGCAGCCAGACTGATTTCTCTCAGTCCCATTCTTCACAGTCCTTTCAGTAAATTTCGCTATATAAAAGAAGATTTATGAAGACCTTCTCACCTTCTCTGACACCTCGAATCTGTGTCTTCGGCCTATTGTTACTCAAAACCTATCTATAATCATAAGTCTGAATGCCGTGTCTTTTGCTGAAATCCGCTATTGTACCGATTTCTCTGAAGAAATGGGAAAACGACAGCTGTGAATCTCATTTGAGGTATCTCTTCATCAGCCATTGTGGCTCTGCAAATTAAGGCCAGGTCCATCTGTGGGAGTCATATTGGATCTGAGACTGACAGAGGAAAGTAAAAAAGGTCCTATTTAAAACCAAAGCTTAACCCAACTCTGAGGCTTGTTGGTGAGTGACTAGGGAAATGTATGTGACAGAGCGTGTTTGTTTGAACAACGTTCAACGTACGTGAATGTGTGAGTGCGTGTGTGTGTTTTTGGCTTTGTCAGCATGTGTCTGAATAAACTGAATGACCCGTTCTGAATGTCTGGCTGACTGGTGGAGATAGCAAAGCCTCCTGGGAAACGCAGTCTGTCTTATCTGCTCTCTTCCCTTCATAACCCTGAAGACTATGGTGCACACTGGGCTTTTCATTCACTGCACATGCTACTTCCTTCTTACTTGGCCATGCTGGAAAATACTCAGAGATTCAGTAATGGCACCATAACTAGTGTAAACTAAAGCAGCGATGGGAATATTGTCACACTTTTAATGAGCTTTAATGTGCTCATTACACTTCATAAAAACCATCATCAAGCTGGTTTCATGATCCATCCTAAAAACAATAAGACATACATTTACATTTACATTTAGTCATTTAGCAGACGCTTTTATCCAAAGCGACTTACAAATGAGGACAAGGAAGCAATTTACACAACTAAGAGCAACAATGAATAAGTGCTGTAGGCAAGTTTCAGGTCTGTAAAGTCTAAGAAGGGAAGTATTAGTAGTATTAGTATTTTTTTTTTTTTGGGGGGGTACAGTTAGTGTGATATTCAAAGAGGCAATTGCAGATTAGGAAGTGAAGTGGAGACTAAATAGTTGAGTTTTTAGTCGTTTCTTGAAAATAGCGAGTGACTCTGCAGTTCTGATGCAGTTAGGGAGTTCATTCCACCAACTGGGCAGATTGAGCGTGAGCGTTCGCGAAAGTGATTTTTTCCCTCTTTGGGATGGAACCACGAGGCGACGTTCATTCACAGAACGCAAGTTTCTGGAGGGCACATAATCCAAACAAGGTAGAGTAACAACTTCTCTTGAGAAGAAGCCCATCATTTCTTTGTGCAAATTATATTGTTTTACACAAACACGCATTTAAAATAAAATCCAATATTAGTTTTGATAAAACATGCACTCTAGGGCCATGTTTGCTTTGCTAATATTACTGAAATGTTAAACATTCCATATTTTATTCTAAAACATAAAATCATTTACAAAAGATAACACTATTCTAATATCATATATAAATCATATAAATAAATAATGAATAAATAAATAAATAAATAAATAATGAGGTTGATTTTCTATAAATATATTTACTTTAATAATAATATTAATGATATTAATGATGATGATGATTATTGTTATTATTATTATTATTAAATAGGATGTTGTTTATTTATTTAAATTTCTTTTTGAAAAGTCTACCTTACAATTTGACACATAAAAATCACAGCAGAAGGTTCTAACCAACAGGCCCACGTCATATACAGTAATAAATAACAAACTATAAAATTAAGGAATTAACGTATGCTGTGTTTGTTGTTTTTACAAACTTTGGAGACGTAACATTCAAGATTCTGCTTTTAAATAATAGGTCACCTAGCTTTTGCCATGAGGCTGTGTTTAAAATGACATCAATGGTTTTAAAGTGCACTGCGAAGGGAGCATAACTATAAACACGAAGATAGCTAAAACTGAACTATGAAAATACTTTGAAAGCAAATTATACCTAATAGAGAAGACCTTAATGCTTTTTTATTTTTAATAATTCCAACTTTGAATGTTAGAATGTTCTAAATGATCAGGGCATAGGGGGGATAAGTTGGAATAGAACACAGCCAAGAACTATGTTCCTAACTACAGCTCCAAAGGTGTAGTTTCAAGTGCTCAAGTTTGCGACTCAATTTGCAAATGTTCGTTGCATCGATGGATTAGTGAATTATGTTTGTAGTTGGCTAACGATGGTTTTGGGAAACGCACCCCTGGTCGACTGAAGTTTATATTGCACCCTCTGGTGGATTTATTTGAGAAGAGAACATGTGAGAGAAATTTGTGATAATCAAAAAGCGTACACAGCAGCCTCTGGTGGATTTGCAAAAACAAAGACTGCAAGCAGACGCACTTAAGATTATGTATTTTGCTGTCCCCAGAAATGTAGACCTAGGTTTGTATCTGCAATGAGCTGGGGTATTGAATTGAATTCAACCCGGGCTCATTGTGGAAACGTAGCCCCGCAGACGTTTCTGTGGACCACGATTTACGTCCCGGGAGGTACGTATTCGAGCGTTTTTTTGTTTTCCCGGATCCGCGAGAGGCCGCTGTGTGCGCTTTTTCGCGTCTCGGGCGCCTCATGGGAGCGCGCGGCGTTCGCGCCCGTGCCGTTCTCGCGCGAAAAGCCGGCTGATCGGGAAAAAAAAAAAGCAAAAGCCCTCGTCTTCGATTTCGGCCGCGTTTTCGCCCTTATTTTTCGGATTCCGTTTTTCGTCTTACCTGATTTCTGGAGCCTGTTGTTCCCCGGAATCGATCCCGGTCGTCGTCCACCACGGCCGGCTCTGGCTCCTCCTCCGGGGCCTCCGCTCCGCCGACGCACCGCTGTGAGCTAAGCGGACAAACTGATTGCAATCGGGAAAGCCCTCCACTCGGAGGCGAGCTGTCGCCGGCGAGCGCGAAGAGGAGGGGCGGAGCGGCGCCACACCGCCCCGCAGCGTTCGCTCGAAAAAAACCAAACGCGGCCTTTACGTACCTCCGGCCACGTAAAACGCGGTCTCCAGAAACGTCCGCGGGGCTACGTTTCCAGAATGAGCTTGGGTTGATTGAATTATTAAAAATGTACTTTTATTTCCTTTCATACAGCAGGCAAATTTTACAACAGGTACAAAAAAATTAACTTGCAACCCTGAGAAATGTCCACATTGAAACCC